ATGTTCGCACGCTTATGATAAATGAAAGAAAAAGCGACGATACGTATTTTATTTATTTACTATTCGCATGGATGAAAGGTTATACAGCTGTTTCTTTTCTTTTTATCATTTCTCTTTTCTGAATTCTAATTGACTCTTGATCTCCTATCTTCTCTCGTATCCAAATTTGATTTCCAATCATTATCGATTTTTCTTATTCCCAAATTAACTTCCTCGTATCAAATTTTTGCTCCACTTGCTCCCAAACTGGCCTTCATCTATTTCTCCCAGATGCAACTTTCGAGAGTGACTGATATCCCCAGCTTAACTTTAAAGACTCTTACCAAATACCTGTCGTCCTGATAGCTCGGAGCGCCAAGCGTGACAGGTGGGTGCCCTTTTGGCTCATTTTTCCTTCCTCCCGATCCAGAGCGATGGATGAACCATCCTCCCGCTCTGAAGAAACGACATCATCAATCTCTAACAGAACTATTCACTATGGAGAAAAGAAAAGACAATGGCACACGTCAAGACATCGAATATGATTAGTGACGCAAAGCAAAATCCCGATTGATAAAAGTGCAACGGAAATCGAGTTCGTCGCAACATTTTTCTTTCTTCTAACAAAAATAGTTAACAGTTTCTGGCCTTTAAGAGTTATGCCTACTTACAGGAGCAGAGTGTCCGTTTTCACCAATGCACTCTTTTCACTAGTGTAGCAGACATTTCCACTTTGATCGATGCAGTCTGACAGATGCAGGACGTGTTTCCCATTGTTGTTATATTTAGAGATTAAATTATTATTCTCTTTTGTCTGTACTTCTTTGAAGAGAAGCTGTCGAGGACAGTGATACACTTTCTTAAAATAAATTACATAAACCGTATAATCGACTTGTAATGAATTGGTGTTATTGCACTGTTACGGAAATCTGATCACTTTTAAATAATTTGACGTAAATATAATCAATTTTTCTATATTTATAAACGTTTATGAGTAGCTGTAAATATAAAATACTCTTTAAACTTAACGAAGAAAACAGTAAATTCATTAATAAGAGAATGGAAACAGTTCATAGATTAACCCAGAAAAGTGTTGTCGCAAACGATGTGCCTTCTCGAATAGTAATTCAAGTTTCAATACAAATAAGTGGAGCGAAAGCATAAGCCTATATGAAGGAACACATCTCTAAATGGGAATTTACACAATTGCACTATTTGTTATACTACAACAGTAACAGATGCTGTCCTAATACTATTATGGTAATCAGGGTTTATTCCAACTATTCGGGAGTCGATGATGGATCAAGAGCTCTATAATTGTTTGAGGAACGTCAATCTGTTTGTCTTTCATCGTGGAAAACTAACATCTGTTGAATAGTACAGATAATTAAATGGACGAGAAATTGTAGAATAAAAAAAATAAAAAGAAAAATGGTATAAATATTATTCCAGTAAAATGTCTTTCTTTGATCGCATATCGAGTATCTTTAGCCATTTTGATTAAACTTCTAACGTTCTAAAAATGTTCGATTACATAAAGACATAGCAGTACAATTTTTAAATTTAAAACATTTAAATTCACTAGATATTAAATTTACTGTTAAAATACAAATATTTTATACTTTTATATATATATATATTTTTTCCTTTTCCGTGTTTAAACTTTTAAAATAAATGATATAAACTGAATTTCTTTAAAAACATAACATCCACATATATCATTTTTTTAACCGGTAAAAATAATAAATGTCAAAAAGAACTTGCTTGTTCATCTTTCTGTTCTCGTTTCTCGTCTTAAAAAGCCAAAATGGACGAAGATTTCCATTTTGGGGTTTGTAAAATAAAAAAATAAAAAAAAAAAGAAGAAACTAAAATAACGAAGAGGAGAAGGAAGACGAATATTCCTCGTCATACAGGAACATGTTCCTCTTTAAACGTGCTCCATGAACAAGGAACATGCACATTTTCTATTACTATCAAAAGAACAAAAAACGACTGCTTCCTCTACTTCTACTTCTTAAAGGATAAGGAATGTTTCTTTTTCTATCACTTTCGATTTTTAAAGAAAGATTTATTCTTTACAAAATGAGAAATAGGAAAAAGAAGAAAAGGAGCTGTATTTGTTATCCTTTAAGAAGTGGGAGAAAAAAGCTCTCTTTCGCAAAAGAATTGCCACTTCTACATGTTCCTTCCACTCCGAGAACAATCGCATTTATTTCTTTGACAATTAAATACTTCTTTTCAGCAACATAACCATTCAAACAGTCATTTTGGGATGATCTCCCAGTATCTATGCAAATATTTATGTGGAGAAACAATAAACGTTCTGAATTTTTATTAAAATAGCGACTTTATGTTAGCCTTAGCTGTGTAAATTACTAAAATAAATGGTGTTTATGTTTACAATTAAGAATGTAAGCGTGAAGTTAAGAAGTAATTAAAGAACTATATATTCTTTCAGGTATTCACGGTTTAAAGATGTGCGATTTGGATGTACCTGGTGCTGTAATTGCAGGTAAATCCGTATGGCTTAGGTGCGGTTACGACTTAGAAGAAGACGAGTTATATTCGGTAAAGTGGTACAAGAATAATGTGGAGTTTTATCGTTATCTTCCAAGTGACGTTCCGCCAGGTCAGAAGTACGATCTCCTGGGAGTTTACGTTGACGTGAGTATTCTACTTTTATTCACCTAAAGGTAAAGAAAAAGAAGAAGTTTTCTGCTGTTTTTTTACTAATTTAAAGTTGACAGAATAAATTAATTTAAATTAGATAATTATTCTCGATCACGAAAGTTTGTTTTGGAAGACGAAGAGCAAAACGTGACGAAAGAAATAACATTTTAAACACATTACCTACATCAATTAGAGTAGAGATTGAGTTAATTAGCAATTATTAATATTCATGCGCTATGGTGATTGCTTGCGTGCGAAATTTATAAATACCACAAGCCAAACAGTTGTTAAAAGCATAATGAGACTATTACGGGAATATTCTGCTCTTTACTAAACACGAATCCTCTCCCCATCAATAATCTGATCGTTTGTGAAAGAGGTGTTTGTTGATGGAAATCGGAAATGTGTAAATGTTTCCCAGTGTATTGTTTGTGTCAAGGGAAGTCTTCTTTTGTTGAAAATACGATCTTCTTTCAGAAAAGAAGCTATTTTCTTTGTATCTAGTCTTTACGATGATGAAACGTTCTTCGCTATATTCTTTGTTCTTTAAAATAAAAAATATATTTTCGTAGGAACGTTGTAGTTTTCTCGATAGTTCTATGATTCCTCCTTAAAATATAGTATATTTTTCCTTTAAAATTTAAAGGTTTGGTGCCATAAATGTGTGTCATATTTTTTAACTTTTTTTTATTTTTTGAGTTTTTACGAAGCACTTTATAAGATTGAACGCTCTCAAGAAATTAAATATCCTATCTAAGTTTTAGTTTTAATCAAAACTCGTACTATAGAAAGTTATTGGATTTGTGGTTACTCGAGATCTTATCTCAATTTAGATCATCTTGTGCTTTCTATTTTACTAGAAATAAAGAATCTATATCTAATCTTCACATGAAATAAAAGTATTTTCATTTCTTTATCATAAAAAAATGAATGAATCGCACTTGAAACAATACATAATTCAAATCGGAATTCAAAAAATTCTCATCGTATGTTTGAGTTAAGAAATAATAAATTGTTATTTTTGTGAATCAAGTAGAAATAGAAACAAAGAAGGGCACTTTTTCTCATGTCCTATCTTCAGAGCCCTTATTGAATAAGAGAAAATCATTTTTAAGAATAGAAAAAAAATGCTTTTTGGTCTCGAATCTCGAATAGTTCTTATATTTTATCAAGATTGAATCGTAAGAATTCATGTCCTTTCTAAAAACTAGCTTTTATATTCTTCAATACTTCGTTGCTTTAAGAGTAAAATATTCTTTTCTGTTCTCGAAAACTTTTTCCATACTTTTTTTTAGAAGAACAACTCTTCTGTACCCAATTCTATCTTCTTCCGATCTGTAAAAGTCTCTTGAAGATAGGAACGAAGCCCATCACGTCATCTTCACTTTTGCTATCTAAAACCCTTTTCTTATATCTTTACGTCAACTTCTAGTAATATACAAAACAAATCGAATTTATTAATTTTTCTTGTCATTAACTAAGACTATATACAGATTGGGAACAATGATGAATCAACTTGCTCTCACTCGCCATACTACACACATATCTCATATTATCCTATTTTGTTCCAGTTAATAACTTGTATAATAATTAGTATTACGAATTTAGATTCAGGCCGTTATTAATTTGTTGAAAATTGAGGTTTGTAAACATAATTGAAATTGTAAATTGTTCTGCATACATAGTACGGTGCTTTAAGTAAAGAATGCTAAAGTAATAAATCTGGTATATTTATAAATTCAGTTAAGATCATTTAAATCTATTAACCATATTATTATAGTTATCATAATTTTCTATACCGTGCATTTTAAATGCTTGATTGCGTTTAATTGGTTTCTGATTATTTTTCGACATTTAAAGAATATTTAATTTTATAATTTCCATAATATTTAAACTGTAAGAATTTACTAAATGAATATCAAAATTTTAAAAGTATTTTTTTTTACTAAAAACACTCTACAAATTGAACGGATGTTAATGTGAAGTGTCATAGATTTTACCTAATCATATTCATGTTTCCTTTCAAATTTCCATAAAATATTGTTGTTAATTCTGAAAAAATAATTCTTAAATAATTTGTACATAAAATTTTTAAATTTCTAAACAATATTACAAATGAAAATTGTTATATTTATTCATAATTATTCAATTTAGAATTGTTAAAATCCTATATTAATCATCAATTCTAAAGCTCTTAACGATCATAAAATCTTATTTCGCAAATTGAAGAGCAACTAAGCTTAAATAAACAAAATTTCGAAAATATGATTATTGGACTGTAAATAAAATATGTAAATATAACCACAAAACATTTTATTAATACCAGAATGCACTTAAAAGCAATTTAATTCGAAATAAGCAAATTTAAACAAATGTATTTGTATACCTACGTATATTATTTAGATAAAGATATTTTTATTCTTTAAGTAAATAGTATTTGTCATATAACAACTTTAAACTGAAACGTTTAAGTAGCTAAAGTCTATAAAGCTAAGTAACTATTTGTTTAATAAAGTTGAATATATTAATGACAAAGTTTAGATTATCCTTTCAACTTTTGTTCAAGTGATTTTGCACACTCAACATAAAAATAATATAAATTTATATCATAAAATTATATATTATATATAAACTTTATTACTACGAACTGCCGGTGGTAATGTCATTCCAATATCTTATCAAAGGAACAATTTCCTATGGAACAATGCTCCAATTTAAAGGAACCATTAGAACCCTGTAAGACCTTTTTCCTGAATACATGCGACGATGCGGGTCAGGGGCATGAAGGTGTATACTCTCCTGCAACAGATTTGCCTAAAATGTTGCAACTGTCCCTTCAGATCTCTCACACTCGTAGATGACAGAAACTGGCATTTCATTTGGTCTCACAAATACTCAAAGGGTGACAAATCTGAAGGCCGAGCAATCCCAGAAAGTGTGGCCCGCAGTCGAGTATTATTTGTTGGAAAATGGCTGTTTGCAAATCCTGCCGTGAAAGACAACGCGAGGGCGCAGGATTTTTTAAACGGATTGTTGTGCGTCAATGTTCCTCGTACCACAACTAGGGGTTTCCTGTTGTCATGCGAGATTGTTCCCCATACAGGAAGGTGTAGTAATGGGGGCAGTGTGCCCCTCAACAGTAAAGGCGGTATTGAAGTATTCTCCAGGGATCCACCACAGTATATGATGGTCGTTCGTTCCTAAACATAACCAGGATTCTTCGCTGTAGATTATACACTGTCATTCCATAGCAGTCCATGCATCTCTGTCACGTCATCACTGCAAACAAAGCGGCAATTTTGGGTGCTAATGGTAGGACTCCTAGTAGTCGCCGTACAGTACATGCAAATTTGTTTTTGCTAGTCACCTGTCAATGGTAAGGGAAAAGATAGTGTTCTGTAGTGAGGCTTGCACCTGTCTCTAGATGATAAACAAATGTGCTGTTGCAGCTGTTCGTGCTTCTCTCATGAAACAAACCACCAGAGACGATTTGTTTAGGGCGTCTAGAATCTATCTGCTGTGCATGTGTGCTCTGACTGTCAGCGCAGATCTGCCCAAACGGCGGGCAATTCAGCAAAATGACCACTCTGCTTCTCTCAGCTCAAAGATGTGACCTTTTTCAAACTTCGCCAACCATGGATTGTTCCTGCCTGGAGATCGAAGACCTCCGAAGAATAAGTACAATGGAAATTTTAAAAACAGTGAGCCTGTGCAAGCATTTTTAAAAGTTAATCAGATAACAACTTTAAGGCATTCTGGCGGCATTACATGCATACAATCTTAACTATAATCTAATCACAACTATAATTATTTAAATATCTGTCTGAGACATACTGTAGCTGTACTGTCGGAGCTTTACACTTATCTGATTGCCAAATTTTTTATCAATGATTACATACATACTGAGTAAACATAGAGTCCCGTGGACTGAGAAGGTGAAGAGTTATCGAAAATGACGAGTTTACAACAGTCTAAATAGCGGAATTTTTGTAAACGTATTATATGTGCATATTCATATATATATTAACTATGTGCCAATAGTAATTATTTCTATTTGTAGTTATATTTAAATTTTAAAAAAATTGGCTACATGGCGGCTACTTTCGAGTTAGTGATATTCGCGTCTTGGTATTTTGCAGTGGCACCATGAAAAAAGGTTTATATTCTTTGTTAACATGCGGGTTTAATGCTATTATCAAATGTCGCCAGTGAAGAACAATAACTTACTTGATTCTAGTGTTAAGTTATAGAAGTAAAAATTCATCACTTCATATGCAACCAAATTTGGTGGGATACATTTCAAGACACGGAAAAGACATTTGCGCAAAAAATTAATACCAAAAATTACCATAATAACACTTTTAACACCAGGATCATAATCCACGTGATTTTTGGTTTCGAGGATATTTAAAAAATATGTTTTATCGAGGACATGTTACAAATTTGACAGCTTTGAAAGAGTATCGCACTGCATGTGAGAAGCATCACATAGGATCAATTACGGTCACCATTAAACACATTCATTGTTCATCGCCGTCAGGTTTCACACCTCCAGAATGGAGACCACATTGAGCAGTATTCCCTGCATCGCTAAAGTCTCTGTACAGAATGAGTTTTCGTACAAATAAAATGTTACTTTCAGCGCTAAAAGTGTTAGAGTTGTGACTTTTTTTTTACGGAAATTTCTTCCGCATATCCTGAAATATCTCCCATACGAAATTTGGTAGTATTTGGACTACTAAATATTTTTCTAGACAGCATTGAATAGAAATACAGTACTTTAGTTACGATCATTCGGTATATAAAATTTATTTTATTAAGAAATGTTTTTTTTTTATATTTGCTCATTTAGTAATTAAGTAAATACTTTTAAAATATGAAATATCAATTAACTTACGTGAAATAAATTGAATTTTCGTAACTTAACATTTAATCTTTCTACTAATGATTAATAAATTCTGCATTGTAGTTTATTCAAAACTCTTCCAAATTTG